AAACATGCCTCCGTAAAACTTTCCCTACCTTCACACTTCTCTCGCTCTTTTCACACAACGCCTCCGGCCAAAGCCCCTCCAGCATTTCTTCTTCTATTCAAATCTACTACTGGCGCTGCCTCGCTTCGAATATTCTCCAACTTTTTCCTTTCTTTTCTTCCCTTCGCTCTCCGTTCTAAAAGGCTCTCGCCACGAAAACGGCGCATACTTCTCGGTTTATCCACAATAATTCCCATTACCGGATTTACAGTTACATTACTCTCTGGCTTAGAGCAAGCACCACATACAAATAGATGGAGGGTGTCGTTCATGAGCGAAGAAGAGGAATACGCCCTATGTCATGAGGGGTTTATGAGAGAAATAGCAAATTATGCAGATAGACTTGTCGGACAAGATAAGAAAGATGTAGTGCTCGTTGCTCATGTTGCTACGAATTTAGCAAATGGATTAGACGATAAGATGAATCGGTTACGCAATGTTAGTATTAACAATGTCGATATAGAAAATGAAAATTTTGGAATTGTTGACATCAATAATGAGAATATAGGAAACGGGAAAATTGGTGATGGCGTTAATGAAGTAAACAAGGACTTTTACCCGAGAAAACAGACAGAGTTGATTAAATTAAAAACAAACTTTAAAGATGAATCAGAGGAAGCGAGTGCGAATCTGACTGGCGAAGCAAGGCCGTTTTATATTTATGTTGTTGATGAAGACAATATCGTGAATGCGTGTGCCTTTGGAGCTACAAGAAGGATTATTGTGTATACAGGTACTTTGTGGGGTAAAACGATTTGGTTATGTAGTCGTTGTATGCGAAACAATGTTTTGCTATGGTTAGTGTACGTCTGTATGAGGTTTTGTTAATTAATTATATGGCCCTATTTGGATAAAGGTTTGTTAAAATTTATAAACTATAACGAAGATTATCTTGCAACAATTCTCGCACATGAGATGGCGCATATATTACAAAGACACTCGAGTGAATTTTTGGGATTCTCTCAAGTTATTATGACGGTAGCAGGTAGACGAATTTTTGAACTTGTAGTAGTGTTAATAACTTTTTTTTCATCACTTACTTACATTGACTTTGTTACCATTCATACTTTTCTACCCAAAGACGCGTTTCGCACAGTTTTTTGGCCATTTCTCGTACCATTGGGACCGTTTATAAACGATTATATTTCGTCTCTAACTGAAGGTTTCGTCCACTCGTTATTCGGTCCACGCTACAGTCAAAAGCAAGAAA